AAGGAATTCATCAATGGTGAGTTTTCAGTTATACTGGCTACTCCACCCAAGCTGCCTTCAAGTTCGTCTGGACCTGCATTAACTTCTTCTAAATGTTTAGTTTATTATTTACAAAAGTAGATGCCTTGATAGCTTGGAAATCAAACAGGTTCTGGAGGACTTGGACGGATAATTGTAATTACATAGAGAACATACCTGAAGGAAAGTAGCTACCAGTAGTAAGGTCACTGCGGCCAACATTGGAGATAGAATCTTCTGGTTGAGGATCTTGAAAGTCATCGTCAGAGAGGGAGGGGAAGCTGAAATCATTGTCTCCTGTGTTCTCCAGGTCATTTGTGTCTCCTAATGTTGACATTTCATTAATGAGGTTTGCTGGTCGCAAGGTAGATATTGCTGAAGGCCAAGGAAGATAGAAATCTCCTGGATCTACAACTGGTGCCTTTTTTGGATTTAAGTTGCTCATAGTACCGCTTGAGAGACTCAGAACATGAGGAACTTGTGAAGGATGAAAATGTATGGTTGCTTGGGTGGGAAGGCCTGAGTATGTAAAGAATAGTGGAGGAGACTGATATTACTGAATTGACAGTTTTGAAGGAGAAGTTGGGGAAAAAGAAAAAGAAAAAAAGGGTGGGGGGCTGTGGGGGGTGGGGGTAGCAGCCCAGCAAAAAAATAAAAAATAAAAAAAAGGTAAAAAGCCCATGGGCCCCGTGGGCTAAGGCAAAGCCCATAGGCTTTTCAGAACCAAGGCCCATACAGGCCCAGCCCATGGCAAGCACTGTACTTCACTCTTGGAAGTCATAAATGAAATGAGTAAATTCGAGCCTTCCTAAACAATCTCCATCTACAGAAACAAATCTTGATTGGCCCAGACAATTCTAAAGTCTATCAGATTTTCTCTACCTAACAAGAATACCCAATATTGCAAGTTATAATTAGAGAGGTACATAGTTGCATTATAGATAGATGTAGTCTGCAAATACTCAAAAGCGGAATATACATATTGAAGTGCCTTGCAAGCTTTTAGACATCATCAAGTAATGGAAAAGAGACCTTAACAAAATAATATTGTTCTTACAATTCTATGCTACTTTACATACTTTTCTTCACTCTTAGTAGTCATAAACGAAATGAGTATAATCTGAGCCTTCCTAGACAATCTCCTTCTACAGAAACGAATGTTAATTGGCCTCGACAACTCTGAAGTCTATCAGGTTATCTTCACCTAATAATATGTACAAAAACCAAATTATTACAAACTAGTCATATAACTAAAGTGGTCACATGCATGAAACTCATGACCTTATAGTAAGGTCATATGTGAAACACATAAATAAGTCATATGACCAAAATAGTCAAATGCACAAAACCCATGACCTTATAGTGAGGTCATATGTGAAACCCATGACATACCTATGACTCATAACTATGAGTCACATGAAATCTTTTCCTCACTAAGTTATATCTGTGACACTCTCATAAGAAATAGCATAGAAAGAAAGTCTCTAAGCTGTTGAGATATCGATAGAGAAAAAGGTAAAGTTGTTACTTGTTGAAGAACTAATACAATGAGAATAGAATAGTTACTGTTAGGCCCACACTAGAGGGTCTATAGTATTTCTTTAGAGAGGGCTTTCTTTACTATTGATAATTTTGTATTTAGTGTTTGTATTAGGGCATAGCACAGACATGGTTGAGTTGCAGGACCAGAGATTTAGTTAGTTCATAGTTAGGACCTGTTTGGTGGGAATGGAAGACAGGTCAACCATTCTGTTCACACATACCAAATGACTATTTCGAAAAGGAAAGACTGCCATTTTTGTATGGGGAATTGTAGCAAACTGAACAGAACAGTCATTGCCAAACTGGCTCTTAGCAGTAGTTACTACCAGCAGTGCACTAACTAGGGGGCCTACCAGTCCTGCACTTCTCATATACTAGTAGTGGTACTACAAGTATAATAAAATTATATTGAGCCACCTAAGTTCTTTGCTAGCATATAACTTTACAAATACTACTTCATATTCACACCTCACATTCTATCTCCCTTACAGGAAAACTACCTCAAGTATAGTGAATAATAGTTGCTATTGAAGTACTTATGAAAATAAGTGTATTTTTTAAGCAACAGGGGACAACTACGAGATGGTCACTATATTGAAGAAGATTGAACTAATTACTCTTCTTACTTCTACAATAAGACTTATTGCCTGCTAAATGATTATATATTGAGAGCAATCGAGGAACTATCCTAACAGTTTTATGTAAAAACACGTGAAAACCTCAGATGAAATAGTAACCTTAGTACTTTTATTTATCACCAGCTTATCAGACTAGAGAAAATAATATACTTTTATAATAGTTTAGAAATATAGTTTGTACTCACTTTCTGATGAAATTAACAGAATTCTTGTAATATTAGAAAGAATGAGGGATAGAAGTATACCTGACAGAAGTATTAGATACCATATTCTCTTCAAGTGGGATAAGCAGGTCCCTTAAATCCATAAAAAAACTCTCTACGACATGTAAACATCTCTTTGACACAACCTGAACTAGGCTGGATGTCAATATCCAACAAGAATTAACAATGCGAGTACGAGTGATGGGTTGTGACTAAATATTCGGACTGGACTTCGTGCTTGCTTGATCTAGAGTGCGGGGGTGGTGGGAGTACCGGTAATGTGGCGCTGGATTTGGGAGTGGGTAGCTTCTTGATGTGATGCGGTTGATTTTGGGCAGCTGGCTGCGGTATTGAATAGCGGGCTCGCTATATCATACTGCACCGGTAATCGTGCTTGCATAGCCGTGTCCGTAAAGTTCTCTTACTTCCAATTACAGTGCCCAGCCCTTGGGAAGGCTTCGCCAATGCTCTATTTCTTGTTACCATGCCCAGTAGGACAAATTGCGATAAAAAGTTTATAGTATCATACTCGAGTACACTCAGAGGAATATTGTTCAAAAACAGTGATATAGACGGCGCCAGCCATTCCCTTGTTGCTTCTACCCGTAGGTATAATTCTTGCGGTAGCCTAATATACAAGGGGGGATATGAGAACTTTGCGGTCGCGGCTGTCCCGTAGTCGATGACTCCGTATGATATCATAACGACATTCAACTGAGGCCGGCACCAAAGCCTTTAGTCTACAAGTAAAGGCTCTCCACCGCCCCGCTCACCAATCACCATGGGTACTGGTACGGTACCCCGTAAATTCTGGGTAAACTCAACACACTCATCCAAGGCCCACAAGTATCTGTAATCCTGTGGCAAACATGCTTCTCTGGGGATGATTGATACCATACCGTATACTCGTATAGTACAGTATGAGCCCGGGGGCAGAAGAGAACTGGCCCCGACGTGGTTTCCCATACAGAATGCACAAGTTGAGCCAACCATCACAGGGGCGCACAACAGATTTTGTTCTTCAAGTGGTAACAAGATGCAAGAAGAGAATCACAGTGGAATTCGCATGTACTGTACTCGTGCCAAGGTTTACTTTTACATCTGTTTTCCCAATCTTGCATGTTTAATGCCCACAAGTATTAGCTTAAATACTTTCTTTTTATAGGCCCGAGCAGCACGCCTCTCTTTTATGTGCCTTCATCTCATCAAGTAAAGACTCACTCTGCTCACTCTGCTCCTTTCCTCACATTTTGGGCCTGCCATAGCTGTTTCTCTGCCCCTCTCACCCTAGAATCCTCCCCATTTAATGTGACAAAGTTATGTTGGCACAAGTAAAATTGACAATTTCTGTGTCCTGCCGAACACCAGCAGCAAGTGGATGGAGTGAGCCGGAACTCTTGCCATGTGGAAATCCCATGCGGGTTGATGCAAATTGCCCGTCTTGGCAGCGCATTTGGGCCTTTCCTCCGGGACTCTGAGGCGCTCGGAATTTTTAGCACCGTTCCTGTACTCGAGTAGCCTCAGTTATGTGAGTCCTCATGCTGGGTTGTGCTGTCCAGAGAGTCAATGGATTTTTCTGAGGTTATGGTGAGTGGACGCCTGTTGAGAATGGGCACCTTGTACGGTACCGTATGGAGGAGGATAGGGGAGCGACCAGTGCAAATGAGTCAGCGTTCTTCACTCAAGTCGTGCACAATAAGTATTATTACTTGTGCCGGTACTCGAGTGCAGTACGGTACAGTATCCTCCGAGGAGGCGGTGGTTTTCGTTACCTTATCTCCCTCGGCGCACCACCAAATATGGTAGTCTATCCCGGTTAGGCGGAACTGTACTCGAGCAAGAGTGCAGTAGCTGTGCCATAACCATTCATTTTGTACGGTCTTATACCAAATTCACGGCCAGTGAGCATTGATGTGGTCTAAACATGTCGGTGTTTTGCAGACATAGCTTAGACTAGGCGATGATATTTGGTGTGCGAGTGCTCAAGTATGATACTGGATCGTTCAAAAATAATCTATAGTCTACATCCGAGGTGGTGATGCGGTGGTGCTTCAATCATAGTATTCTGCCGGTGCAATATATTACCCCCAACATGGTATCATCAAAGAAGCATTGCTCCGTGTTGAGAGGATGGTTGGGCGCACAGCGTGTGGTGCAGACTTGCTACTCAAATCAGCTCCTGGAGGACGAGGAGGAGGGGGTTGTGGGAGGGCTTTTGGAATAACTTGACTTTAGTCTATTTGTTGGCGATCTCTCATATCATACATAGAAATAGACTCAGGTGGCTCCTCATATCTGTGGGGGGGGTTGCGGCATTCAAGTACCAGATAGTACCGGTACGAGTATTAGCCAAGGTGTGAGTGTTAGAAATCTACCACGTCCCCGGAGGATCATGGCATACCGGTAGCTGCAGTACGAGTGCTCTATTCTACTCGTACCTGTAACACGAACTGAGTTCACGCTTGTGTGTGTGATACGTACTCGTACTCATCCAAACTGCGCTCAGCCTCAGCCTCTTTCTACCGAAACACGAACGAATCCCCTCGAATATCTTTCTCTCTCAAACCTTTCCTCCTAGATCTTCATCCTCCCCCCCACACGCTCATCACCACAGTCCATTGCTTTTACTCGCCACTTTGATAGAAGCTGGGTTCTTTCTTCATCTAGAGCTCAACGTTACTTTGATCTCCATCAAGCCCGCCGCAAAACCTCTACGGGCTCTGTTGGACTTGCGTAGTCGTCACTGTTTCGTGATAGGCGGTTGAACTCCGTACCGCCCAATATGCTATTGCTGAGGGTTTGGGCTCTTGCAGCTGCTTGGCTGGCTACAGCAAGTTTCCGCTTTACTTTTTATCCTTCTAGTTAGAGTTTGATAACTGATCTGTGTTGCGTCACTTGTAGCAAGCCCTTGCAAAGAAATCCCCCGAGATTTCAAAAACCAAGCTTGAAAACTTACCATCCATATTCTTCTATTTCGATGACAGTCCGGTAATGGGAATTCCAGGCTCGTCTTTCAGGAGTTGGGGCTGACTGGCTATGGTCGGCTAGGTGATATTAACCTTAGATGCGCACGCAAACAACGTATGGCGATCCGACGACGATGGAAACTCCTGGCACAAGGTTAAGGGGGTGCCCGACGGCGCTGCTTGGGATATCACGGAGCATCCTTTTGATAAGAAGCGGGCCTTTATATTTGGAGAGGATAAAGAGCATTGGTATACCGAGGATCGGGGCGCAAAATGGCACAAATTCAAATCTGAAGTCCCGCTTTCGCTTCTTCAACCACCTCTTGTGTTCCATGCCGGGCAGCCCGAATGGATTCTTTACTCTGGCAGGGTTTGTGAAGATGATGATGATTACTTTGGACGTTCTTGTAAGGAAGTGGTGAGTTGCTGCTATAACACCTGATGTCCCTAGGGGAAAGCTCCTTTGTTGATACACTGAGTGGTAGACTTATTACACGAAAGATGGGTTCGACAGTGAAATGAAGAAGCTTAAGGAAGAAACACATGGATGTATGTTCGCTCGCGGTACCCCGATCTTCGAGGGCGCAAAGGATGAAACAGTTCTCTGTATTGTCAACGGCGACACAGCCTACACAGAAAACCGGAGACTGCTTGTTTCCCATAACTGGTTCAGAGATTCCGAAGAACCGAAGTTGGATGGCTACAAAACTGTCAATGGATTGGCTGGCCTTGCGGGGATCCAGAAGTTCATTGTGGCTGCAGTGAAAACCCGCGGCACAGACGAGATGGCTCTGTATGTTACCCCTGGGTCTTGCCAGCGGTATACTCTGACCTTTGCTTACTGTTTATAGATATGTCACGAAGGATACCAAGACCTGGCACCGTGCTGAATTCCCCCACGATCATGGCGGTCTCAGAGAAGATGCGTACACAGTTTTGGAATCTACGCCATACAGTATCCAGGTAGATGTTCTTACAACGAGGGCGATGAATCCTATGGGATCGCTATTTACTAGTAATTCAAATGGGACGTATTTTACGAGGAATTTGGATCATACCAACCGCGCGGTTGAAGGATTGGTCGATTTCGAGCAAGTTGCGAATATTCAAGGAATTGTCTTGGCGAATGTGGTTAATAATGCGGATAGAGTTCTTGAGAATCCTACTATCCGCAAGGAGAGACAGTCCGTGATCTCCTTCGATGATGGCAAATGGGGTACCTGGGTGCCATTAAAGGGGCCTGACGGCAAGAGGCTAAATTTGTATTCTGTCACTGCGCTGGCAGATGGTGGTCGTATTTACTCTAGCCCTGCTCCGGGAATCCTTATGGGTGTTGGGTCGCTTGGGGATCATTTGGCGGGATACAAGGACTGTGACCTTTTCTATTCCGACGACGCGGGATTGACTTGGAGGAAGGCCCTGACCGATGCTCACAAATACGAGATTGGAGGATCCGGCTCAGTGATGGTTGCCATTAATGATGAAGATATGACTGACATAGTGAGCTATTCGATCGACCACGGAAAGAACTGGGAGGAGGTTAAGCTGGATGAGAGAATCCGTGCGAGACTGCTCACCACTACACCTGACTCTACGACTCTGAAGTTCACCCTGATAGGGACTGCAAGGGACAAGACGCCATATGTCTTTGGCCTCGATTTCTCCGAGGTCTTTGAGCGCAAATGCAAACTTGATAAGAGCAGCGAGGACGGTGACTATGAAAAATGGTATGCTCGTTTGGACGAGGAGGGCAAGCCGGATTGCCTCATGGGACATAAACAGTATTTCTGGAGGCGGAAGCCCGGGGTAAATTGCTATGTTGGAGAAGACTATAAAGATCCAGAACCCGAGAAGGAAGTTTGTGAATGCACCAAACATGATTTTGAGTGCGATTTCAACTTTGTTCGGGAGAATAGAGGGAAGGATGATGATTGTGTGCCTGCTAAGGGCGTGAAATTTTCGATTCCCGCTGGAGAATGCAAAAAGGACGAGGACACCTATATGGGCCCTAGCGGATATCGTAAGATCCCGGGTAATGACTGCAAAGGTGGAGAATCTCTCGAAGATAAGGTTGAGAGGAAGTGTAATGAAGGTTAGTTTAAATCACCTATACTGGTCACATGTTTGTACTAGCAAAGAGCTGACAAGAGTCTAGTCACTACAACTCCTTCAAACGGGAAGGTTACTGATGTCAAGACTTCCTTTGCTGGAAAGCGGGTTGCGGAATACTTTTACCTTGAGAACGCTGAGAGTGCTTCTAAATCTGATGAAGTAAGCAATTTCTAACTACTTTTCCATATTTCTTTGCCGAAAACTTATGGTTGCAGACAATTATCATGAGAACAGAAGAACAGGAGGTATGGATTACCAGGGACCATGGCGCCACATGGAATCGGATCCTCGAGAAAGTCAATGTCGTTTCAATCTACCCTAATCCCAACCTTTGGGATTCTGTGTACTTCATCACTCCAGATGCTGAAGTTTGGTACACCCTCGATCGGGGTGAACACATCAAGAAGATGGCATCCGTTAAGACCAAACCAAATCGCCAAGGTCTTCAGGTCATCGACTTTCATCCGACCAAGCAGGGTTGGCTCATTTGGACTGGTCAAGAAGATTGTGATTCGCCCTCCACGTGCCATTCCGTCGCTTATCATACCAAGGATAATGGGGAAGAGTGGCATCGGTTGCTTGCTTATGTCGGTACTTGTAAATGGATTCGCACCGAGAAACAGTCTGAAAAGCTTATATTCTGTGAGCACTTCGAAACCGAAAGAGGCAATGGAGAGGGCAACTTGGAATTGGTGGCTAGTGACAACTGGTTTGATGATCGCCATGTCAAGTTTAGAAGCATCATCGGTTATGCAACTATGGCTGAGTTCATCATTGTGGCAAGTATCAATGAAGACGGTACCTCGCTCAAGGCATCGGCGTCTGTTAATGGAAGTATCTTTGCTGAGGCTGCCTTCCCGCATAATTTCAACGTCCCACACCAAACCGCGTATACGGTTCTCGACTCCGAGACCCACGCTGTTTTCCTTCATGTCACGGTCAATCCTAGGAAGGGCTTCGAGTTCGGTAGCTTACTAAAGTCTAATTCTAATGGAACCAACTACGTCCTGTCATTGGATGCAGTAAACCGCAACGAGGAGGGTTTTGTTGACTTTGAAAAATTGAAAACTCTCGAGGGAGTTGCTATCGCCAATCGCGTCGTGAACGCCGACAAAGCAGTCGACGGTGAGAAGAAGAGATTGAGGAGTATGATCACGCACAACGATGGAGCGACGTGGGACTATATCCTTGCACCAGAGAAGGACGCAGATGGCAAGGATCACAAAATCTGTGACACCAGCGACAAGAAGAAATGTTCACTCAACCTTCACCATTACACTGACCGGGTTGATCCTAGAGACACATTTGGATCAGGGTCTGCTGTTGGATTGATGATGGGCATCGGAAATATTGGGGACGTCCTAACTGGTTACAAGGATGGTGATACATACCTGACTCGAGATGGCGGCGTTAGGTGGAAGCAAGTTAAAAAAGGGCAATACCAATGGGAATACGGCGACCAAGGCTCTATCATTGTTTTGGTTGAAGACAATGTGCTCACCGACAGGGTTCACTATTCACTCGATGAAGGCGAGAGCTGGACCGAATATACATTTGCGGGTAGCAGCGATGAGAAAATGCGTGTGGCAGATATTTCGACTTTACCCAGCGACACAAGTAGGAAGTTCATTCTTTGGGGCACCAGAGAGGGCGACGGGAATAAGTTTTGGACTGTTCAATTGGACTTTACGGGACTTACTGATGTTAAGTGTAAGAATTATGCTCCCGTTTCCTCTTCTCCCCAATTACTAACCTCGAAAAGGTGATTTGAAGGATGGTGATGGCGCCGATAGCGATGATTTTGAGCTATGGTCACCAGAACATCAAGATGGATGTTTGTTTGGACATCGTGTACAATACAACCGCAAGATCCGTACGCACAACTGTTATATTGGAAGGAAAATTAAGCAACCACACAAAATATTGGAGAAGTGCAAGTGCACTAGGCACGACTACGAATGGTTGAACCACCTTTAGGTTTCCCCCTCCTATAATGCGATAGCTAACGAATAAGTCTAGCGATTTCAATTATCAACGAGACAAAGATGGCGCTTGTTATTTGGTAGAAGGACTTACACCTCCAGATCACCAAGCAGTTTGTAAGGAGAATAAGGACCAAGACGAGTACTGGGAACCAACTGGCTATCGACGCATTCCCATGACAACATGTGAAGGGGGTCAGGAGTTGGATAAGTCCATATCACATTATTGCCCCGGCCACAAAAAAGAGTGGGAGAAGAAACATGGTGGCGCTCGTGGGTTTGCCTTATTCCTAGCTATTATAGCACCAATAACTGCGGCTGCCGTGATTGGATGGTTTGTTTGGACTCGCCTTTTGGACGGCAGATTTGGAGCCATCAGGCTTGGAGAAGACAACAATGGACAATCTCCATTTGTCAGATACCCGATCATTGTGATATCCGCTATTGTGGCTCTAGCAGTTTCGATTCCGACAATATTGGGAGCTATCGGTTCATGGGCTTCCAGCAAACTGACGAGAACGAGGCGGTACACATCTAGAAGCTCATTTGCGAGAGGAGCAGACTACTCTGTTGTGAACACAGATGAGGGAGAGCTGTTAGGAAGTGATGACGAGGATGAGTTTTGAGATGATGAGAGACGATGCTCTTCGTTGTTGTGGGCGTGAGGGCGGTGTTCGGGTTAGGATGTGGTATGGTTCGTGTGGTCTCAGCTTGAAACTTGTGGTTTTATATCTTTCCCTTTTCGTAGCGTGATGAGCTATAATGATTAAGGATTGGTTAAGGGGGTGGGCTATTACGGGACGGCGGAACGACATGAGGGACACAAAAGTGAATGGCTGACAGAGTGGGAGTTATTTTTCGTGTATTTTTGCATTTGTTTCTAGGGAAATTTCATTTGTTAGGTTTTCATCTTTGGGTCCTTTGATCTCGGGCTTCACGCTAGTTCTCTGTTGTCATTCTATCCGTAGAGAAAATTTCAGTGGTGAGGTGTAGGTTTTAAATGTTGGGTCATGCGGGTGGGAGAATACCGGTAGTTTACAGTATACTGAGAAGGAGGGAAGCGATTACTGAATTGCTAAATCCAAGTGATCACTCGGCCTCCTCCCCATCCTCCTCAACCCACCACGACACCAGCCCTAATCCCGCCTGCTGGCAGGAGGCCTAGGGACACTCAGTTAGCCCACAGCTGCGAACACATGAGAAGGGCCGAAGAAAAACCCACAGTAATAGCATACGGCGGCTTGTTATGCAAACTCGACTCCTCCCCCTTCAAGTGCGGCGGCACAGGCAACTGATCCACGAAAACCTCACCCTCAACCCTAAACCTGATAACCTCATTCTTATCCATGTAAAAGTCCTGATCATCATTACGCCATATCCAAACCTGTTCCTTGCCATCACTACTGCCACCAACAAAGGATTAGCCCCCCCCACTCCCCACACCACGAACCGAGGATGCAACAGCAACAACTTACAATCGGCTTCCCTCAAACAGGGCGGCGGCAGGTACGAAGACCTCGTCGAAGAAATCCGTGCGGACCTTAACGCCCGCCGCTGTGGCGGAGCTGATCCGACCCGTGAGCACCTCGCCCTTGAAGGGACGGAACACGATCATCCTGAACTCGACGTTCACGTGGGCACCCCCGTCCTGGCCGATCATGCCCTCGGAGACGCTGGAGAGGTCGTAGAGGGATATGCAGAGGCCTATGTTGTGCACCACTTTGTTGGCGTATTTCTCGTTGATCTGGTCTTCTAGTGCTGTTGCTGTTGGGTGGGCGAAGGTTGGCGGGGGGAGGTGGAGGAGGTCGGTGAACTTGGACTGTGGATAGTGGGTGGGGGATTAGTTCTTTCTTTTTGAAAGGGGGAAAGGGGGGACGTTACTAGGATGAACATTGTATGGTTATGGTGGGAGGTGGTGGTGGGAGAGTAAAGTTAAAAAGTATCGTGGCATTTAGAGAAAGCTTACAGTTGACTGCGAGTAGACTACGGGTACGATGGTCTACTTAAATTTATATTCTCCGTATTTACGCAAGGTGAGGCTCTGGGATAAACAGTTGCCAAGCCTTAGGTAAGCTACCACCCCAACAACTCCTGCAAACTCAGCGACCCAGCCAACAGCGCCATGTTGAAAATGGCAGTTAAGTACCCGTAGCTCAGACTGGAGGCTACAGTGGTGTGCGTACCTCTCAGATGAGGACGCGTAAGCAGTGAAAAGTTTTCACCTTATTTCTTTCCTATTTCTTTTCTTTTCTTTTCTTCTCAACCTTCTCAACCCTCAAGTCGATAACAGAACTCCACTCCACACCTCTTGTATGAAACTCTCCTCACTCCTTATTCTCTACTCTTCACACACATACAATACAAGGTTCCCTCATTACCATTAGAGCCAACTCAGTCCACTGCGTAAAACCCACCTTTCAGTCATTACTGTTGCAACGACAACCGGTTTTATCCTGTCTGTCGTCCTCAATTTCCAACACGCCACAATGCGGCCACATCGAGTGAGAACAAGTGCACTCGATCATGATATTATCATGTCATACCGGTAAATTTTCGAACCAATCAACCTTTATGTATAAACCAAACCGAACCTACCGATCTCTTCCTTACCATATCTTATTCCAAACACGCGAAAACAAGCATCGAAAGCTCCTGTACACAAGAATAGTAATAGTGGTGGAAAGGAAAAAGGAAGAGATGGAGGGAAAGACCGCTCCAGCGTCATCCCCAAAGTTATGCAAGTACCCAGTAGGATAACAAAACAGAAGAGAATAAAGAGAAAGAAAAGAACCCATCATTATCATAGAACGCAAAGTAAGCAAAGTATAACCCCCCTCCAAAAAAGAAACTCCGCGAAAATATAAAAAAGACAGGAAGAGTAATCGATCGGTCAATCAAGAAATATCATAGGTGAAGCGAACTCCGTGGTTGAAGGTGATGTCCAGTGGTAGCAGTAGGGAAGAGAGAGTAGGATAGAAAGTAGTCTAAGGAAAGGAGAATCTTGGGTAGGACAAAATGAATAAAAGAAAAAGAGAAAAAAAGAAGCTTCTAACTCCACCCTATAAAAATGATAATTACGATTTTTTATACCCAACCCCTCACAATCAAACCACTCATTCATGCAGGCATTCACCATCGCCATATCACCGCCCCCGGTTCTCTGCCATCCTCCTCTCCAACTTCCCATACACATCCTTCGCCCACGCCGCCGTGATCTCGCGCGTCGGCACACCCTTCTCGGTAACGTGATCCACGGCATTTTCCAACAATAAGCGGAGCATGTCCATGCTAACGTCGACGAGCCCCTCTCTGGCGCGATCCGGGTTCAAGAATGGGTCGTTGTCACTGAGGAGTTGACGAATGGTCGGTCTCTCGTCCTTATTCCGGGCAAGACACGCGCTGATGGTGTTGGTGAGCGATTTGGGAACGGGGACGCCACCAATGCCGGTGTCGGGGTAGTCGATGGGGTAGTTGGGATCGGGGATGGCATTGATCTTCTGATACATTAGCGAGAGGTGCGAGAATGGGCCATGGCCGTAGGTCATTTGATACAGCATGCAGCCGAGACTCCAGACGTCACTGGGCGCGCCTAGTTTCATGAGGCGGGGCGCGCCGACGCTGGCCATGGCTCTGCCCGAGGTGGCGTTGATGTCCACGATTGCTTCAGGGGACATGTAGTTCAGCGTGCCAACCTGGGACTCGCGGTGGACATTGACGGTGTCATCCTGGATCGCGTTGGCGATTCCAAAGTCAATGAGCTTGAGCCGGCCCTGCACGAGGAGGAAGTTTGCCGGTTTCAGGTCTGAGTGGATGATGTTCAGATCGTGTACGGCTTGGACGCAGAGGAGCATTTCGCGCCAGTAGTAGCGGATGAAGGATACATCCATGCGGGAGTCCTCGTGTCCGTGTCGGAGGGTGAGGACCTTTGCGAGGTCCGTTTCACCGCATTCCATTAACTATAATACATATCAATATTCTACTCCCTTATGGAGGAGGAAGGGGCAAAGTACCATAGTTAAACACTGCTTCTCATCGTTAATCTCCCAATCGTATAATCGAATAACTCTATCCACCCCTGATAACTTTCTTAATAAGTCGATCTCGCCCTTATATCCTCTGATAGCGGCCTCCCCGTCCTGAGAACTGAAAGTGACTTTCTTCATAGCAAGCATTTTGAAATTCTCCGCCATAACTTTGTAGACCTTGCTAGACCCTCCCTTTCCAATCGCATCGAGGCGTCTATATGGCTTGCCATTTACGTGAACCACCGATCGTTGTCTACGTGATGACTGTTGAGATGCAGTCGCCGATGCACCTGCACTAGCTGTGACGGCTTCAAGCATCGACATCTTTGGTGGAGGCGGCGCTGGGCGTAGTGGCGTATTGCTGCTCCTGATGGAGAGTACATTGTTCTTTGGTGGTGGCGAAACTTTCGCTGGCGAAGGAGCGAGTGACTTCGTTTGGTGCTTGACGGGAGATACTGGGGCAGGAGCGGGCTTCTCTTCACTAGAGCCCAGTCGCTTATAGGAGTTGCTTACAGCTGGGCGGCGGAATGTAGGTGGGGGGAGCATATTCTCTTTATCGTTAACCACAATGCCTTGTGGGAGAGCGGCAGCTGCTGCTGCGATAGCCGCCGCTCTTGACATAGAATTCGACGATGATGACGAACCACTGCGTCTCTGAGATTCTGCTGGGGAAGACCTCCCGCCTGTACCGGGTTCTTCTGGTGTGCTCGAACCCCTGTAGACGTTGATCCTCGCTTGCTCCGCTGATGATACTGGACTCGATCTTCGAGACCTACGAGACATGAGCATGGGGGGCTCCATATCGACATCTTCACTCGTGTTCGTCGAGTAACCTCGAGACCCGGAGTTCGCGTCTGATTCCGGCCCCTCTTTCTCGGTGGAGCTAGGACTGCTTCTTCCTTCGACGCCCTCGCCGATATACCCATCATGATACTCTTCGTCTCCACGTTCACTATCCCTCCTCGGTCCCCTTCGCGGGGGGCCGGCCAAGCCACCCAACAACCCTCGCCCCGCGCGTTTCCATCGAATAGCAGACGCAGACGTAGATGCTTGTGTATTGGTCATTGTAGACCCCGCCGCAGAAGGCCTCACAACGCTCCCATACGTCGTACCATAAACGCGGTTCTCTACATCCTGTTTCGGTTCACTAGAATTTGACGACGACCCGGAGGAGCTAATAGTCGAGTAGGTGCCGTTGAGAGCTTTTCTCGAGTATCTCCCCGGGGCAGGAGTCACCAATTCACGAGCAGTGGAAAAATCGGGGCTCATACGAGACGATCCCAACCGGCCTGTCTTGTACTCGTCCGCAGCCGGAGAGTGACTCCAGTCCATCCGGTCGCGTGGACTATGTCCGCCGTTGGCAGCAACAGGTTCAGGTTCAGGAGGAGCATCGGCCAGCGTCCCTCTAACAGAAACAGCGCCATTCGACTCAGGAAAGTCGTCTAGGAGCATTCGCGCCAACGCACTCAATTGCGGTGCCTTTCCCCCTTCGTCATCTGAATCGTCAACGTTATCCGACTGGTTCATTCGGTGGGATGGTAGAGGGGAGCTTCGTAGCGAGGTTTGGAGGGCTGGGCTCTGCCGCCTTTGCCTAGCGGGTCGGCTCAGAGCAGAGAGTGGTGAGGGTGTGGACACAGAAGGGGCAGAGAAAGACATGACGTGTGTTTTATGGTGATAAAATAAAGTCCTAATAATTCTCTGGAGTATGCGCCGTTATTCACGATTGCTGGCTAACCGAAATTATGCATGTGTTTTGTGTGAACGCTGTTAGTTGGTGTTAGTGGTCGCCCGAGGGGAGAAGGAAAAGAGAAGAAAGGAAGCGGGAGAATAAAGAGGGAGGAGGTGCTAGTAAGGTTTGTTGTTGCTTCTTGAAACCGTTTGTTAGTGGGGGACAATGGTTGCTATAGCAACAAGTGTCCGAGTGCCCATTCATGTCGTACTGCCGAACCGTGCACTCTGCCGGACTGCTGTAGCAACGTATCATAGTTTCTCACCCATGCGTCTTGGGGATTTTCTAAGTTCACAGGACAAGAAGCAATGCAATTATTGACAACTGTTGGAAAATATAAGGACTTGGTTACGGTATCTTGGAAGTTTCGTTGACAAGAGGACGCTAGCTAATGGAAAATACAAAAACACCAATGGAATCAAGACGCTTCATTGTCGGCCTTTGATGGCAGCGATATAAAGAGGGGGTAATAGGAGCAATAATTAGGCTCTGTGGAAAGAGGGAAAAGGCAGAGAGGCATCCAAGTTCTTGCTTTCGAGGAGTTTAAGAGAAAGATGAGTAGCAGGGGCTAGTTAATCTTGACTCAAACCGTACACAATGAATTAGTAATCGAGCTCGGCTTCAGGAACCGTGTCTGTTGCAACTTCCTCGTAATCTATGGAGTGGTGTAAATGTTAGTTTAAGGAAGTAGAATAATCCTACATAAAAGGATCCGGTAAATGGGATATGAAAGTTACCTTTTTCAAGGGCGGCAAGATCTTCTCTAGCCTCAAAGAATTCTCCTTCCTCCATACCCTCTCCAACATACCAATGCACAAAGGCGCGCTTGGCATACATCAGATCGAACTTGTGATCAATTCTAGACCAGGCCTCCGCAATCGCAGTAGTGTTGGAGAGCATGCTGACGGAACGATCTATAGGAGCAAGCTCACTGTCTGGAACGCGCATGGGCTTTTGGTAATTAATACCAATTTCTTTTATAATTAGCTAGTTTCTCTCTCTATCCCCCCAGATAAACTCACTGAATCCAGTGGGGCACCAGTCGACAGGGTTAAAGGTGGCCTTTGCTTTAATGGTTGCAATCGCAGACGTACAGTCGCGAGGTACGACATCGCCACGATACAAAAGAGCGACGGCCATGTATTTCCCGTTTCTGGGATCGCAGACGACCATTTGGTTATTGGGCTCGAAGCATTGAAATGTCAAGTCGGCAACCTTGAACGACTCGTGGGTGCTCTTGCTAGCAGAAATCACCGGTGCATAACTGATCAATGGGTAATGGATACCTTTTAAGAGTTAGAAGTTAAAGTAAACCCGGCACGCGAAGAGGGCTAGCATACGAGGATAAGGAACCAAATTGGTCTGGAATTCCCCAAGGTCTACATTAAGGGCCCCATCAAAGCGAAGCGAAGACGTGATCGAGGATACCACTTGAGCAACTAATCGATTGAGATGCTCGTACGATGGCCGTGGGATATCAAGGTTTCGGCGACAAATGTCGTAGACGGCTTCGTTGTCAACAAGGAAAGTACAGTCTGAGTTTTCGATGGTGCTGTGAGTGGATAGAACTGCGTTATAAGGTTCGACAACAGCCGTGCTGACTCGGGGAGCAGGATAAACCGCAAACTCGAGCTTAGACTTCTTTCCAAAATCGGCTGAAAGGCTCTCAAGAAGAAGTGCACCGAATCCTGAACCAGTACCACCACCGAAAGAGTGGAAGACAAGGAACCCTTGTAAGCTCGAACAGTTATCTAGCGAGACAATTTAGTATTTTTTATCTTGAAAACCTCGCGATGATGCAAGGGGAGCCACCCGCTACTCGACGGACGCGGTCAAGGACATTCTCTAGGAGCTCCTTTCCGATAGTGTAATGACCCCGAGCATCTAGCTCCAAAGATTAACAATCGCACCCGATAACGCGCCAGTGACCAACTCACAATTGCTAGCAGCATCCTCTTTGCCACTGATTAGTAGTTCGGGATGGAAAAGTTGACGATAGGTTCCGGTCCGGATCTCGTCAACCGGCTATAATACAAGAAATGTCAGTATGATAGCCAGTAATCAACCAAAAGCAGAGCCCTAGGCTTTAGTGTGAACAAACCGACGGGTCTAGGTCTACGAAGATAGAACGGGGAACATATTTGCCGGACGCGGTCTCAGAGAAGAAAGTATCAAAGGATCCATCAGCAGCAACATCCGCAGCTGCCGCCATCTCTGGGTCTGGACGCCCATCCGGCTTTAACCCATGCTCGATCAGGTACCTGCAGCAATAAGAGCCCCACGGGTCAATGTAAGTTGATAACAAACGGAAGGAAGGGGGATCAAGAGGTTTCTGCGAACAATTCCCAAGCACTGTTTCCCAGCTGTATGCCAGCCTGACCAACGTGAATGTGGCAGACCTAAGAAGTAAAGATTAGACGGATATAACCCTTGGTCAAGGTATATGGGGAAAGGCGAGCAATAAATGACAGTTGGATAGATGACGGTTGTAGGGTGCGGCAGCTGACACCAAAATGATTTGGTGTGAGCATTGGGGAAAACTTACTTCGCCCCTCATGTTTAGAGAATATTAAAGTCAATAAACTCAGATCTGATGGATGAAAGGAGAAGCCAGAAGGATTCCTCAAAACTACGAAAAGACGTCACGAATGATTGCACAATTGCGGTGGGTTAGGGGAACGGGATCGATGGAGACGATATCCAAAGAAAAGGAACCCTAGGAGGAATTGGAAGGGAGAAAGGGATCTTTGCGGGGATTTGACAGAATGGTCTTGGCATGGTTTGTTGTTGCTGTAGGTTTTTTTCTTTTTGTGGGAGAAATGGTTTGAGGGTATGATATGATACAGAGACGGGCATAGAAAGGAGGACGGGGTTTGGCCGGGCTATAGTAGGAGCCTCCTCATCGCTATTTGCCCAACTCCTGACTAGCCGAATTGACAGATGAACAAGTCTACGTGAATTTTGGGAATTGTCATGACGCGGTTCCTAGTTATAGCACCGGTACCGCGCATAATGAGAGTATGGATTATCATGACATTGTGTAGGCCTAATTCTGGTGGTGAGTGATGCTTGCACGTACAGCAACCACAACCCGGGAGTGGAAGCTTTGAAACTTTGGATCGGGTTACGGGTACTACATGTATACAAGTACAGGCAGTAATGTACTATAATTAGGGAACATTGCTGAACGGTCCCCGGCCGCTTGGGGGGGATTACTGTAGGATCGGAGCCGATGCTGAGAACCACTCACAGTGCCGGTACCGGTGGGACTCTCGACGCAGAGGGCACTCGCTTTTAACCATCTGTCATGGCCAGTGTTTCCAATTCTCCTCGTTTGAATTTTTCTTTGCCTGGGAGAGCATCGCTGCCAGGATTTCTAAACTGTCTACCCGGTATATGCGGCCAAATCGAGTAATTATAAGTGCTGCTCATACAGATCAGCACCAGGAGAGGGGTATCCGACCCGCTATCAATGATTTCTATTCCAATTGTACAGTACTCGAGTACCGGCTGTTGGTATTCATGCTCTCTTTGATAACTTTTCTACCCATAGCTTTTTGACCAGCAACTCACAACATGCCGAAGCCGGAGCGAATCCCTTCTATTTTCAACCTTCTGTCACAAGATCTGCTGTCGTCTGACGTCAATGGCGTTCAAAAGCATGGGTGCCCTGCAAATGATTGACAGACGTTTTTCTGAAACAACTTCTCGAGTGCCGTAGAGTGCCGGTACTCGAGCACGAGTACTCGTATGATACAGTGCACCCTTCACTAACCTTGCGCCCTTTATGATAAGGGGTGAGAGTTTTCCGCTGACATGGATGATCAATTGTATAATAAATAACACTTTCCGTTCTGTACAAGTCCATTTCCGCCAATAGCTCCCACATCTCTGCATCGGGGGAGGTTCCTAGTGTCATGTAGTTTTCCATATCATTTCCCGTTTGTCCAGGGTTTGTTTGGAAAATAAATGTGGATGATGGATAGAATAATGCCCTTGTGAAGATTTGCACCTCCATCCCCTTCTCCACGTGGAGTATCCTATACCCTACTTACTACCCTAACCACCACTTGGGCACGTAACCCACCGAAACCCAAACATTTCCATAAAGACCCGGGGAGGATCCTCGGATCCTAACAATTGTCTCCTCAATCCGACCTAACAATTCTACCCTGGAACCTTTTCTTAGCTTCTAAGCCTTCCGTCATTCTCCCATTACACAAAGTACTCTGTTCGAGTACCCCATAAAACCACCAGTCAGAGATCCAAACCCCAAGGGATTGTAAGGAGTGTATGTGCTCAGGGTATTGGAAAGAATGTCAACACCTGTGCATGGGATACCTCAGCCGACATGTCCCAACATTCAGGTTACGGCCAACACCCCAGGACGTCCCCCGCCTCCACATGTAGGAGGTTGTTCGTCCGAAAACGAGGTGTTTGCCTCTGAAAACCCACCAGAGCCACAGAAGAGGGCATCAAACATATCGGATGGGGAGGAAATCTGTCCACCACCGACCAGGAGAGAGGAGAATTACAGATTGGAGGATGACCTTGAGTTGTTACGAGCTGAGAGGGTTGTGAGTCGTGCTTCAGAGCACACTGGTGATTTGTCGAGATCGAAAAGTGGTAGACACAGGTCGAGGCCTAGGACACCAGAACCGGTGGACGACTTTGATATTAACACAAACCCAGCCCACGATGGCGGCAAGGGTGTCTGGAGACCACCTGAGAGACCGGCTACGAGGTTTGGAAAAGTCCTGAAAGCGGTAAGAATTCTACTGTGGGGGTGGCCTCATGAGCTATCACTGATACGAGGATAAGGTCCATGGGTCCTCCGTTCTAGTGCGATATTTTACGTACATTGTTCCCTTAGTGCTGATCTTGTTAATACCTCTGCTCCTTGGAGCTCTGGTATTCAGGGAAGCTACTGTTGGGGATGTCTATCTAATGTGGTTTATGGTGTGGTTGGAGATAGTCTGGTTATCCTTGTGGGCGGGGCGGGTGAGTGTCATTTGGATTTGAAAACCATGGTAAGAGTTTTTCAAGCTTATTCTATCTCCCAGATCTTGGCCAAATGCGTCCCTTATGTCATGGACATCATCTCAGGTGCATTCACAAACAACAGTAGGAAGTGGAAAGACATGGGATGCATGTTGGAAGTCCCTGCCACACTCTTCTTTTGGTGGCTAGCAGTCTACGTTTCTTTCCTACCTACCATGACAAATCACCACAACGATGGAGATAACCGCACTCGCTACTGGGAGAGTAGAGCTAGCATCGTCCTCTTAGCACTTTTCATTGCGATGATTCTGAATCTGTTTGAGAAAATTATCATCCAGCTCATTGCCATCTCTTTCCATCAGAGAACCTATGAAGACCGGATCGACTTAAACAAGTTTCAAATTTCCAGTCTTGCGAAGCTCTATGCGCACTCAAAGGAAGTAGCCGGGGGGCGTGATTTGGACGAGAAGCAGGGGTCGGGATTGACCTCAGGCGCCAAAACACCACTGGTCGTGTTTCAACATGCAAAGGCTGGCGCCCATTCCGCCTTCACCAAAGTTGGTGATGTGATGGGAAAGGTTGCAGGTGACTTCACAGGGAGACAGGTTTCTTCGAGTACTTCTCCTCAACAAGTGGTACTTACACTTCTGTATACCACAGAAGGAAGCCAAGCGGTTTGTTTCCTATAAAAAATTATTTGGCCTATACCAAGCTGCTAACATGCCCCGTGGTGTAGCTGGCTCGCCGGCTATTCCGAACGCTCGTACGTGAAGGGACAGAGGTTGTGTCTGCTGAAGACCTTAGGCATGTATTCACTAGTGAGGAAGAAGCCGAGGCAGCATTCCAAATGTTCGATCGAGATCTTAACGGAGATATCTCGTGCGAAGAGATGGAGATTGCATGTGTAGAGATTGGGCGAGAGCGGAAAGCAATCACAGCAAGCTTGAAGGATCTAGATAGTGTCGTCAGCAAGCTTGATGATGTCTTCACGTTTCTCGTGACAGTCGCTGTTATTCTTATTTTCTTATCCCTGATATCGAAGTCCACTGCTGGTAACACGATGGCTCTTCGATGACTTTGGAAATAGAACTAATGCGGTTTTCCCAGGTGTTCTGACTTCGGCGTCAAGTTCTGTGCTTGCCCTTTCGTGGCTGTTCTCTGCTACGGCGCAAGAATTTCTGGCCTCGATTATATTCGTTTTCGTGAAGCATCCATTTGATGTCGGTGACCGAGTGGATGTCTATAATACTGGCGCGGGAACCGTGGATACTTTCTTCGTCAAAGAAATTGCCCTTATGTATACTGAATTCAAGAAGTTGGAAGGGCATGTTGTGCAAGCCCCAAACTCCTTGTTGAACACGCTTTTCATTCTAAACATGAGGCGCTCGGGCGCGCTGGCGGAGGTAATATGTGCCGGGGTTGGGAGCTTCAGACGGATTCGCTGATGGTGATGTGCAGGCTATTCCAATTGTCTGCAAATTTGGCACTTCTCTTGAACAGATCGAAGAACTCCAGGAAAGGTTATTGGCCTTTGTCAAGTTTGAGAATCGGGAGTACCAAGGAAAGGTTATTACTGAATTGAGGTCTGCATCTCGAACTCAACGACCACGGCACCGAACTAATCTGGAGTAGGGATGTCCCGGATATGCACTCTGTCAAACTTAACGTTGTTTTCTTCTACAAATGTATGTTCCCTAAACCAAGCAATCCTCGCCCATGGATTATCACTCGCTTACTCCTCGCTCCAGCAAACTGGCAAAACGAGCTCGTCCGACTCCAACGGCGTAACAAATTTATGTGCGCTCTAATGGTCAGCGCCGCAGACCTCGGCATCGAATCGCCAAACATGCGCTGGCCCGGTCAAAAGCAGACATCTCCAGTCTTCTTACAATCGGTCAACGCGGACCAAATCCAACAATCCGTCCTGGATCGAGATGGAGGCCCGAGCGGGAAGGGTGGTGAGTACAGGACCTTTGCCCCACCGGCCGAGCCCCATGGAATCCTAAGATCCGAGTCTCGAGCCGGCCTGGGCAGGAGTGCCTCCCGGGGCTCCACCAAAAAGGTGGATTTCAGTCTTGGAGTGAAGGATATAGCTCCAAGTGACGACTCGGGAGATGTGTTCGAGGATAATCGTCGGAATATCCCTGCTATCCAACTGATGCGGGTTTTGGAAGAGGAGGAGGGGCAGGAGAGGCGGGATGCGCTTTCCAGGACTACTTCCAGGGACAGCAGTATTGATAGGAACCCTGGGATGGGTGGAGCTGTGAACAGGCGCAGATCCGGGAGTGGCAGTATAGCCTCCTACGGGAATAGGTTTTTTGGTGGGAGGAGTCGGAACAGTATTGACTTGGAGGGCGGGGAGGGGCCCTCGTCGCCGGTGAGATGGACCTCTAGGGGTGGGTCTGCTAGGGATAGTATCGAGATGGGGCGAATGTAATTATGGGGCCTTTAGGGTCGTGTGTTACATAGGGTTGGAAGCGTGATAGTGTGGTTTGTGTGAAGGATTTTGTATGGAGTGTTGCTGGAGTGATCAAAAACTGGACAAATGATCCACGGGGGTTTCATTTCCTTTTCCCGTTGGTAACTTGATCAATCTTTAGCACTTGGTTCATGTATTGTTCTTAGGTTAGGTATTGTACAACTCAAGTCTTATGCTAATATCGGGGGGTCACGAAGCGCCTGTAAGTTCATAACCCAATGAGCAAGAACCAAACCCCTAATGGAAGTCTGGTACTGCGCAGGGAAATATGCCGTTGTACAGGTGCCGCAATGTCACAGCTATTGGCCAAACTGCCGTCATAAGAAAGACCGGTCAGTTGCTGATAGGAAAATGGAGATGTGTTCAATATTCGATATATATGACAAGTGTTCACTGAAGAGTGTAAGTGTGTGTTCCCATAAGGCATGCAAGCGTCTTAACTCAGACTATATACAGTTTTGTGGTGACCCGCTCGTGGGTTCACACAATACCAGTCACCATCGTGCAGTCTGGTCAATAGCCCTGCTCACACTCACAAGTGTGCCCTAACCTAACATACCACGATGGGGTTACTCCATCACTCTCCCTAATCCCATCGTTCTTCCACAGAGATCTATGCCTATCGATAGTAAAAAAAAAATAATACTTTTTTTAAACAAGAAAAAAAAAAAAAAAAAAAAACCAAACATCTCTATCCCGCAGACAGATTACATAGAAACTGACAACATATTAAGGAAATTCTGGTGCTTCACTCGTTCCAATCCCTTGGTGAGTCCATCCGCTATCATAGCATCAGTCCTAACATAAGAGATATCCACATCTCCATCTCTGACCAACTTGCGCAACCAGAAATACTTCACACCCACATGCCGGGTTGAAGGCTTAAACTGTCCATTCATCAAACTCGCTATACATGCCTGATTGTCATTAAACACTGAAACTAGAGGTCTTCTTTCTCCTTCTTCTTCACTCTTATTTCCTCCTCCGTAAAGCTCCTCCTGTAGGTTCCGTAGCCAAATAGCTTCCTCTACTGCAAATGCCGTGGCATTGAACTCTGCATCCGCAGTTGATTTGGCTACTGTCTTTTGTCTTTGACTCCTCCAATGAATGACTATTCCATACTGATCGAGAATAACAAAACTACTTGTAGACCGCATACCGTTGACTTCTCCAATGAAGTCTTCGTCCGCATAAATGACAATTGCTGCATTCCCAGAACTTCCACTTACTCCCCCAATGTCACCATTGTCTCCTCTTCTAAGTCGTAGATGTAGTTCCTGCGTACTCCGTAGATAACGTAGAATCCTTTTGACCGCTGCCCAGTGTGATGTAGATGGATTTGCCAAAAATCTCCTGACTATTCCACTCACATAGGCGATATCGGGTCTCGTGGTAATAGCAGCATAGGTAAGACAGCCGACTGCCTCCTGGTATCTATTCTTCTCGGTGGCTTCGCCTTCATCTAACCTATTACATAGCTTGCTCTTGGGGTCCATTGGTGTTAGGAATACCGAGATCCGATACCTAGGAACCACCCTAGGTAGGGTAACCTCTCCTGAAATCGAAATCTCAGGTCTCCAACACCCCCCTCCGGCCCCCTTACGGGGCCCGCGCGTCATCATACATATCGATCTAAGTTTCATCCTGTGAGTATTATACTACAGAATCGAAGGTGTTAAAATAACACTGTATACATCGCCGCCGTCCGTCCGACCGGATCCTGTTCGCAGGATATATAAGAGGGGACCTTCGGCTAGGTCTGGGAAGTATAACGGAGTGAATCCGTCAACTACCCAGAAAGTTACTAGGCTTCAAGAACGAGATATCTTTGGTATAGGCCACAAGTAACGGGACGTTTTCGCGCAAAGAGATGATGATGAATAGTAAAGGATCTTAATGACAGACCAATACATTCACATCCACCCTACGATAACCAGAAGAGTCTGGAACTCCTGAGAATACTACCATCGAACCCAATGGAGTTCGAGGAGTGTTACAACTAGGTTCCGGTACATACTGCAACCGAGGGGGTAACTCCCAAACCGGTGACAGTAACCAGAATCCTATTATCCACGGTAACCAAGGGTTACTGACCGAGGGATTATCTACCAACCCTATGGAAAGGCTTCCTGCAGATGCAACCCGCAGACGAAACTGATCATTTCATCGACAAGGGAGACGATTGGAGCCAACACAGTTCGACTTGAGAATTGGGCCAATTGTCTAAAAAGACTCTCACCATCGGATAATTACTATTGGAAACAGCATGACTTCCAAATAGTCATATTATAATTATCAAAGAGGATGTGATGATTTTTAGGGTCTCCAGGTGTTCGCACCTTGGAAGAAAACCCGACGTTGCGAGTTATATTGGAAAAAGGTACATGGTTGTATGTTAGTTAGATGTAGCCCGCGAACACTCAGACGCGGAATATAAATATCGAAGTACCTCCCAAGCTTTAGACATCATCAAGCAACGGAGAAGAGACCTTAACAATATAATATTGTTCTTACGATTTTACTTTACTTTACTTTACCCTACTTTACTTCGCTCTTAGTAGTCATAAATGAAACGAGTGAAGTCCGAGCCTTCCTAGACAATCTCCGTCTATAAAAACGAATCTCGATCGGCCTAGACAACTCTGAAGTCTATCAGGTTGTCTCCGCCTAACAGTATATTGTTAGATCTCCTTGTTACCAAGGCTCTCTAATCGGTTACCACTTGCATGGGTTCGACTCACACTTTCAGTGAAGTACTTAATACTACGGTCAGCCTAGATACTATTAGAGAACTATCCCGAACCAATTCAATTTTCGAACCACCGACTAAGATTCACTTACCATCTATTAGTCAAGTGTATTCTAGCCAGTTCGAGCTTTCAGAAGTGCCATTTCTGTTACAAGAAGCTCCTTCGTGGTATACCGACCCCAACCTAGTTCCTACGGAGGAACAATTTCAAAAAATATACAAAACCTGGTGCGGACCAGAATTCAGTTGGAAACCCTTCCTTGACTGGGATACCAGCGAGGAAAGTTCTCTTAGCAGCAGATTCTCTGCTACTATACCTCTAGCGTGGAGACTCGGAACCCATCTGAACTCTCATTAAAATCTATCTCCTCCTACCGCACGACGCGGCCAGGACACCAAGTATCCCGCCGCATATTCTACTTAAACGGAAACGTCCCAAAACGCGGGCTTCATAGCCCGCCTACGAGAAAAAGAAGCTCGCAAATGAGCAAGAGAGATAGCTTACCCTCCTAAGCAGATCCTTCCAGGAGAACCAATGGATACCTCAGAAGATGATCACTCTACAAGTTTCAGCCATTCTTCCTCACTTCCTCCCGCTCTTCGGAAACCTATTGGAGGACAAGAGGGCAGGGCTCACAGTGTCCCGCCATCCTCAAGAGCCCCTTCTCCTGCTTCACGATCTACCACACCACGTCCAAATACCCATGCAGCAGATCTCACAAGACTTGCCGCTAGGGTAGGGATTGTCATAGGTCAAATCCGACAAGACATATCAACCAGTATTGATACTGCCAATATTGCATTTGACACGCTATCAGTAGATTCTCAAACCAATGCACGAGGACTGATAGCTGTCCAGCAACGATTGTTGGAAGGACAAGATATACATGACAATGACATTGCTATTATGTTACGTCAGTGTACAATGGTAGAAGCAAATGTTCGAGAAATCCAAGAAAGGATCAATAGGGAAATTGCCGCCAAGTTGGCTGCACAAGATGCACGGCAAGAACATTACGAAGGAGTAACCACCCAACTGCAGCGAGAAGCTGTAGAACGAGACCTCACCCTGGAACGTGCCTTCCAAGGGTTCAGAGCACAACAGACCCAGCAAAATACCGCAATGCGAACCCTGATATCCAATTTGGCTGCAAGGCAAGATAGGGACTCAGAACGGTATAGTGACTTTACCCGTACCATCCAAAAGGATCAAACCCACATATTCGATACCCTATCACTAGTTCTTAACAAGCTTAAGGCACTAGATAGCGGACAACCAGGTGGTCGGCACGCTTTGTTGGAATCAGTCCCAGAGGAATGGGAAGAGACTGCAGAACGAGGGGAACCTGAAGAAATCCCTTCTCGAGACAAGGGGAAACAAAGAGAAGGAGAACCTCCAACCTTTCTAATACCGGGTGGTGACCCGGATGATGGAAGTGATGATGAAGATGACGATGGAAATAAAGGAAAACGTGGAGGAGGGCCATCCAGATTCAAACGGGGATTAACCCCTGAACAGCGTGGAATAGCTGATGTACTTGCAGAAGCATTGGCTCAAACAGTTAAACGACCGGCAGACCCGCCCCCATTTTTTGAAGCAAAGGCCAGTCAATGTATTTACCATTGGTTAACCCAATGTGTAGACTACTTCGAACGGAACCCAAGAATCTGGGATGATGATCGAGAACGCATCATTTACGCCTTGGGAAGGACAAAAGTGGATCAGGTCAGTCCAATAGCTGTATGGTACCGACGCGCAATGGATGGTCTCCAAGGAGAAGAACAAGATCCAGAACTATCTTCCTGGACTCGCTTTGAGCACGAATTCACTAGTCGATACGCCCCTCTCGAAGAAGGACGAAAGGCCATACGGGATATGGAATCTGTGGAGTACAAAAACGATATTCAGACCTTCATAGGGAAAATGCATAATCTTAATCTCCACGCCCGGTTAACAGGACCAGCCTGGCAAATGGCATGTGACAGGAAATTGCCCTCCAAGATTAGGTGGCGACTCTCCTTAAACAAATTCGATACCGATACCGAATGGGAAAAAGCAGTCCGGGAAGCAGGAAGGGATGAGGAGGAACAACAGGAACGGGACTACCTGGACCGGGACAAATCAAAACCCATAAGGACGTCTTCAGATAAGAAACCTACGGACAAAATTCAAACAAAAAGGGAGAAACCCTTCATAAAAGGAGGTGGT